GTATTCTAGAAAATGTTTTTGACTCTCTAGATTCAGTAATTCCATATCCTTATCAATAGTATACATGTAAAAATGACTTTGTTTGTCTGTCTGTGACTTTTGAACGCTGAAAATTCATTTACGTATAGTTGTTGGAATGAAAAACTACGTAGGCTCTTATTAACCCGACCGGGATGACGAAATTACGGTTAAAAACTAGTACATATTTATATAAAATTCAGTATGCACTGAAATTACAGATAAAACTAGCGTTAAAGTCTGATTAGAAATTATTACAGGCTTAGTTGTATACTTTTTATAAATCGACTTCAAAAATAAAGAAGTTTTCAATTCAGTTGTTTTTTTTTATGTTTATTGCCTCATGTCAACTCTGTCAGTTGTAAACGACAAGTTATTATATTTATATTGTCAAGTTGTATTTAGAATTTTTTTTTATCTAAAATAATATACTTAGAGATAGATCTCATAATAAATGTATCAAAATTTATTCAGCAGTTTAGTTTTTAGGTCAAAATTACTGATTTTGCCTCTTCTGAAGTTTGTTTTTTGTGAAACACAATCCTTATTATTTTAATATAGCTTTTTTATTCCGATTTTATATTTTGGATTTCTTTACATTTATTAAACTGATTCGAAACAAAAAAAAGAACAAACTAATCACAAAAGTAACCACAAATATGATTGAATGGCCTACATACATCATGCATTCTTAATGTATATATAGTTTTATTCGAATTTTTTAAAAACAACGTCTATCTAAGAAACGTGTATAGTATAATATATAAGACAAGTTTGTTTCCATGTACAGTGACTAATGTTATTGAATTTTTACTTTCTCGAAATCAAAATTGACGAATCAAATCCTCACTAAAGTGTGTATGATTGTATCCCTTTCTTAATACACATTGACGAGCGAGAGGCATAACCATATTTGGTTTTCTACTCGTACAACTTCCAAATTAAATAAACGTGACGTAGCAACATTTTCTATTATCAAAATCGTACAAGTATTGTTCATAATTATACATCTATCAATGAGTGTGTGAGAGAGAGAGAGAATGAAACACCTGATTGAAAGTGGTAACCGACGTCTATAGACCTAAATAGTAATATGAATATAACAGAATATATTATAATTTTTATTATATCCTTCATACATTGCCTTAAGGATTAGGGTTTTTTTTTAATGAATGATAATGGAATGTTAACCCCGTCTACGCTAACGGTACATGCTGTTGGAACACCAATAAGTGATGATAGGTGAGAATGAAAAGGCAGGTCAGTTAGCCCATCGTTCTGAATAAACCCGGAATTCAGCACGATGGTTTCTAGAGGGATCAAGGGGAGGTATACCTGTATATTGCTGACAATTGGACTAGTGGTCCGCATTATTAACAATCTCTTCTTCACTAGGATTAAGGATTAATGCCTAAAAAATCCCAAAATATAATATAATATAATACACTATGGACATTTGTATAACATATCTTCACACAAAAAATATGAGTAAGAAGACTCTTCAATGTCCACTGATTCCCAGTTTTATATACTAAGAATATTTATTGAAATTATTCTATTAAAAATAATATTTACATCAGACTGTTCTAAATACATTTACTTTTTTTTATGATACTTTGAATAAATGAACGAATAAATATTTATTTGCACACATAGTCCAATACATTGTTGATGCCACAGTGGTTTCAGCTGACAGCGCTGTAGTATGCCTTTTAGGCATGAAAATGTTTTAACTTACACTTAATACCCACAACAATCATGATATAATTGAGTATATTGAATGGCAAAAAAGCTGACGACCCACCTGATTGGAAGTACATTGGAACATAGATATTACTGAGTATACTATTATGTCAATGCTGCTCCTCATGCGTTGCCATTCCAATGGACTTCAATATCTTGCCTGCACAACTTAGAATTTCATTGTCATATTCCACCCTTCTTACTCATTGCCATGTGGCATATAATGGATCACTCCCTTCTTTCCTGTGACTATTGTAAGAGGCGACTAAGGGAACTTAATGGTTGATGGATAGGCCTGCAGACTCCTTCTTAAAATATCACTAAAGCCTGACTGTAGTTGCCAATCTGCCTGCCAAGCGTAGCAACTACTGGCAAAATCCTCCCAATAGTAAACTGCTATAAGGAACGACCTCGTTCCTTATGATAGTCTATGGAGGAAGCCTATGTTCTGCAGTAGACAGATAATGATTGATTTGATAATAATGATGATTTCACCCTTTAAACTGAAACACAGCTTCACGAATGAAACTAGAAACTCGAATTTACGCACAGAAAACTAATTATTACGCTTATGTTTTAAAAACATAGTGTAATTTAGAACACTTTTATATATATTCGCATCAAGTTCATTGAATTTATAATTTCATTCACGCGTCGTAAACTGCAAAATAACTGATCGTCAAATCGTTAAAAAATAAGAATTGACTCATACATACACTTGACCTAACCACAACTATTTAAGCTGTACTAAAAAGCCTTCTCATAATTACCGTTAACTACTGTCTCGTTTTTTTTTTCTTTGCTTTATTTCACGGTTTCGTGCTTTATGGTTAACGTCTTTACACTATTTCTATTTTTTATTACGTACCCGTAATGTACACGACGAACTTATGAACATTATAATAGAAGGTAAGATAGAAGGAAGAAGGGCGAGAGGGAGACCGAGACATAGTTACATCAGGCAGATCAAGGAAGGAGTAGGTGTCGTGTCGTATCAAGAGGTGAAGAGACTTGCTGAAAATGGTAGTTAGTGGCAAGAGCTCCACCGACAAGAGCGCAGCTCTTAAATAGATAGATAGGGATAGACCCGTGATGTAGAACAACCGTCAAAAATTAATTATGTCATTGCCGTGTTGTCCCGGTATAGAACGAGCCACCTCTTCCTGTCCCATGGGTATCGTAAGAGAGGACTAAGGGAAGTGGTTAAGGGATGAGCAGCAGTAAAACAGCCTTCTTAAAACATCACCAAAATCCTAACTGTGGTTGCCAAATCGCTTGCCAATCATGGCAACTACTGAAAAAATCCCTCTGCGGGAGAGGTCTATGTTCTGCAGTGAATAGTTATTGTCTGATATGAAGAAAATGACGTCATTGTAACCTTAATGTAAGTGTTCGATGACAATGTATTGACATTACTACCCTTGTACTATAATTATCATAACTATCTTGTCAAATAATTTGCGGTCGATTTATATTTTGCGTTTCTATTTATCTCCCTTTACAGTTATCTTGGTATTCACCTTTTTATCATCTTGACATCTTTCAGATACCTAGTTTGTCTGGGTTTTCGTTTTGAATATTTTCTACCCTTATTTCGTATTCTGTTTTGTTATTTAAAGAGCTCATACTCCAAGACTTACTATTTACTATACAATAGTACTTACTTGTTACTATATTAGTACCTAGTAATAATTATATTATCATATATTTGCCGTGTGTGCCCCGGCATAGAATGGGTCACACCTTCTTTTCCCGTGGGTGTCGTAAGAGGCGACTAAGGGAGGGCGAGGGATTGGCAGCAGCGTCCCTCTTAAAACATCTCTAAAAGCCTAACTGCGGTTGCTAACCCGCCTGCCAAGCGTGGCAACTACTGGCTAAACTCCCCTCATGGGGAAGGCTTATATCCAGCAGTGGACAGTTAAGGACTGAAATAATAATAATAATAAATATGTACAAGGATAAAAAAATAGTTAAGTATAAATATAATTAAAGAAGATCAAGCGTATACTAGACTAGGCTAGAAGGATTACTTGATTTCCAGTATATCATTGTATCGAAACAAAACAAGGAATGCCGTTGATAAATTTCGAATGAAGTCCGAGAACCATTCTAGGAGCAGACTCGTGTATTTCAATCAATCAAACATTGTCAAATTGATAATTATCAATCAAATCAAATCAAAAATTAAGAAAACAGGAATTTTAAAATGTAATATAAGATGGAAATGAATGATTGAAACCAAATTAAAATATTTAGCTTAGTATAATAATATTAGAATTCTGTAAAGTAAATATATTTTTAACAGATTACTTATCTAAAATTATCATATCAATCAGGTATTATCAATACTTTTGGATCAGTTGTATACTTCATTACTCAAGGGCACTCGGATACTCATTCAGGTTACCAGTGTGTCTGTAATCTAGATCAATGACCTGGAAACAGACTCAAACGATGTCGCGATGATAGCACATAATCGCAAATTCAGTATTTTTTTTAATAATAATGTAAAAGTGGAAATACATATCGAAAATATAATTTTAAATGAAATTTCAGTACAAAATCGTGCTGTAATATTAAATCCGTTATTTATATTAAAATCAATAAAATTATGTTGTAAATTAAAAATGCCGTAATTAGGACTGAATCGAACTTTGCATTAAACTTTTAATCAACAAAGTTAAGAATTAATCTTTAATATTATAACTATATTGTTTAATGTCTACTAATTTATTAAGGATTATTATCGTTCCAGTATTTATATGTAGGCTAATATTAAAATATTGGTTTCTAGAAATATATTTACTTTTATAATTAAAATTGCTATACAGGATTAAAATTACTAAATAATTCCTTTATCATCTTTTGCCTATAAAAATATCCATACGAATAATTTATGTAAAAAATACTATATTTCTTATAATTAACCAAATTTAAATGTAAATAATTATGTAAATTATACAATATTGAATATTTCAGCAAACAAGTCCGAAGCGAGCACAGATAATCTTACACAAGAGTGAACAAGTTCGTGACCTTTACAATGACCGCATAAGCTCACAGGCTTTCGCGCAAACGCAACATTATGAAACCTGGACTTTACTTTTACTTCCACACCACTGAGAAAGTCCACTTGTATTTTTGGTGAGTTTTTTCAACGCGCACTGTACACGAGGGGTGCGGAGTGTTACTATTTAAGATGCTGCGGAAAGCGCCGGCGCACAGTTTATGTCCAACTTTTGTACGATGTGGCGGACAGTCGTGTTCTTGGCACTCGTTGCAACGTGCACCTCGCATCCTGCACAAGATGTAGCACACACTGATAACGATCTGGATGGATTGGGCGACTGTTTACGCAAAGACTCCACGTCATGCCTGAAATACAAGTTCTTCTCCTACGTCGACAAGATGCTCGGACAAAAGGACTCGTTTGCTCTAACTGAGGGTGTTACCGTCGTGAGAGCTACAGACGTCCCTACCGAGACTGGAGCGCCTAGATCTTTGGATCCTGTTTCGAGATTGAAGAGATACTTCGAGACTCATTCTTTACGCGTAGAAGTGAAAGGTTCGGATGTGATCGACGCGGTTTCAAGTGCAGGACGAGCTTTGGAGGATACGGTGACATCGTTTGCTGACGATGATGCCACAGAAGAAGGAAGAGGGAAGAAGAAGAAGGCGGCTAAGATGCTGGGGCCATTGATAGCCGCGTTGGCTTTGAAGATGATGGCGTTGATTCCTCTTGCTATTGGTGCTATTGCTCTAATTGCTGGAAAGGCATTGCTGATTGGTAAACTGGCATTGGTACTCTCAGCGATTATTGGTCTCAAGAAGCTTCTGTCTCAGCAGAAACATGTAACGTATGAGGTCGTGGCTCATCCTCACCACTCATCTAGCCATGCGTCCAGTCATGACTATGGCGGCACCAGTGGATACGGTGGCGACTCAGGCGGATATAGCTCAGGTAGTGGCGGGTCGAGTCACGGCGGTGGATGGGGGAGGTCAATAGAAGCTCAAAGCTTAGCGTACTCAGCACAAAAACCTCAATAAGCCACGGCCTAGATGTACGGCCTCTTTACGTCGATTTCTCCGTAACATCTGAGTGATTGTTTATGTATTATTTATTCGTTTGTATGTGTGAGTGATGAACGTTTGTATTTATTTGACTGAGTCGCTATTAAGTATGATTTCGTACGCCATTCTCAGCTCAATTTCAAAGTCATTATTTATTTTCTAGTAAACCTTATAGGTGGTATTTTGTAACTATTATTATAGTGTATCTATGTATTATTTAAGTATTAATATTTTATGATTCTATGAATCTCTGTATATACGATTTAAAAAGTACATGCATATCATATAAGATTACAAAGTATTTATGAATTATCACGACTAGTACCTGGCTTTAATATTTTTAGGTATTATGTAAGTTATATATATTTTTTATGTATTATTTAAATTATATGATTATTACATTTTGTAAATTTATATTTATAGAATCATTGTCATTATTGCCCATGGGTATACAGTATTACATTAAATTCATTTTATATGATATATATTATATAAAAAATTATTATAGTATTAACTTTATACTCTATTGTGAATATAAAAAAATTTTTTATTAAAACATTAAGATATGTAAGGTGTTTTATTTACAAATTCTTATAAAATACATTTAAGTATAGAATAAACGAGCAAAAAGTATCTATACATAAGTACTTACCTATTTTAAATAATATAGTACTTATTCTACGTAATATTGTTTCAACAAATATATATAAGTATACATATAAGTATAGTTATAGCGACCTTATAGCATACAGTAGTAGAGCTTAAATTGCGTGAACTACACCCAACTTCATATACGAAGTCCTATTTGATAGAATTTCAACCTAATGACGTAGAAATTAAAGATTAAAATTTGATCGTCAACAATACGTAATTGGTAGAAACATACCAGAGTCAAAACAGGATTGTTAAAATCTTTTTATACGCTAGCGTAACAATTCCTAAGATCATAATAGCTCATAACAACACCATCTTATCGTTCACACGTATATATTTAATTGGTGTAGTAAAAGTGATAAGAGAAAAGCGGATACTGACAGTAGGTCGAGATCATTACCAGCAATGACAGGGATACAAAATATCACGTCCAGTTTCTCAACATAAATTACAGTCTAGTTGCATGTAACATTTCTAAAGCCTTACTGAGAATATATAAAAAATAGGTAGGCATGTTGACGGATGTAGATCTGTTTAAATCACTGACTTTCTGTTGAACATAATGTGCGTTTTCAAATTGTTCTGCCAATGGTGCCATTGAAATGAAATTTATATTTATAACAAACGAGTTATATTGTAAAGATTTATCTTGAAATCCACCTGAAAGTATTTTATTATTATTGTGCTACGTGGTTGTATAATATTAATTTCTGTCCCACAACCGCGTGTCGTGAAAATATAAATTTACATAACGCTAAGTATGAAACATTTTACTAGTGATTTACATAAAGAAAAAAAAAACAACTGTAATAATTTAAACTTTCTATCGAGTGAAGAATTCCTATAAATTGAATAATAAAATATAATAACTATTAAAGATAATATTTCATAAATAATTACGTAGTAATTATTTCTCTACACAAAATGTCACGAATTGAATGAATATTTAATTTATAAATTGGAATGTACAAACTAATAATATCCATTCAATAAATCAGTTATATGACTTCTTTGAAATATTCTATCTATTTGTGAATTACAAAAAATCGCTTCCGCTTATTCTCGTCTCTAATATTACTAGTATAAATCGCTAAGCTCCTGTGCATTGTACAGTCATCCCCGTAGCTTTCCTTGTATCCAGGTCGGACGTTTGCCCTCTAGAGAAAGGTACGGGTGAAATCATCGGATCGGTCACGTTTCCAACATTGCATTAAAAGTAAAATTGTACATAGCATTGTTTTGGACAAACATGTGTAGAGGTCATTGTAGTCACTTCTAGATCTGTCGAGCTGACAATCTTGGTGATAAATTAGCCGTAACTAGTGGCAGTCGATTATTTCCTGTTCTTTATTACTTCGCAAAATAGACTTGTATTACTGACTGTATACATTTGCGACTTTAATAATGACCGCGACATTTTTCGTATATTTGACAGATGAAACTATCTTGCTACGAACAGAATATTGCTATAAACTTGAAAATAAAATATATTTAAAACAATACATTTTATTACAGTCCTTTATAGATTTTTAGACATAAAACTACAAATAATCAGTGTTTAATTATTTAGACAGCGTTTTGTTAAGCTCTGTTTAATTAGACAGTATTTAATTTTTTTTTAATAAATCTATAAATATTCAAATCCAGAGTGTAAAGTCACAATACATATATCTAATACATATCTACAAATACCGTTATGTTGGGCACAAAACGGTAATAGAACGTGGAATATCAACGTAAACAAAAAACTCAACATATGACACAGATGTCATTAATTACTGAGTAATTTGTATGATCATTGTGAATTAAAGCAAAAATTCCGGTAAACAAAAAAAAAATGCCTACTTTGCATACAGAATTATAACGATGGTATCCTCGTAAAGTAAGGTGCATGGAATACTGTGAGAGTGCTCTAATACACAGCGGTAGGGATTTTTTTTATGGACGATAATGAAATGATAAGCCCGCCTGCGCTAACGGTATACACTAGTGAGAGATGATACGTAAGAATAAAAAAACAGGTCAGTTAGCTCATCATGATGAATACACTTGGAATTCAGCACGATGGTTTCCAGAGGAAACCACGGAGAGGTCAACCTGTTAGGGTATATTGTTGGCAATGGGAGTGGTAATCTGCATTACTAACAATCCCTTAAGAGAGATTTAGGTAACTGTAAGCAAAAATATTATAATTTACGGTCAAATCAGGAATATTCTCCTTCTTGTGTCATAGACAAATAGTAAAAATTATATAGACATATAGTGTCATCATTGACACCATAAAAGCCATTATTTGCCCACTGCTAAACATAGGCCTAAAATAGTATACGCTCATAAAATTGTATCAAAATCGGTAAAGCGGTTTCAGAGATAAAAGTGAACAAATATAAGATTCTACTAGCAAATAACTGCAAGATTTTTTTTATGCAACTTAGAATGGCAAACAAGCTGACGGCCCACCTGATGAAGAGTGGTAACCGTCGCCTATAAATAAGGGCAGTACCATGGACATAACAGAGTATACTGGTTCACCAATGATACCCCCCATGCGTTGCCATTCCTGAGGACTCAGGTGTTATTCCTCTGTATCCTGTAAATTCACAGCCATATCCCACTCTTCAAACCAAAACACAGCCATGCAAACACAACTGCTTCACGGTAGAAACACGAACGGGACAGAGGTGCCCAAGCAAACAATTTTTGTACAAAATCTCCTTTTGGTAATATAAAGTAACTGCAAGATAATGAATGTGCAACAAAATAAACAGATCTCTAAGAGAATAATAAAAAAGAAGCATGTTTGAGTCACCGTAGTAACCTTGACGACGATCATGTAATTCATTCATTGAGTAAAATAGAGAAAAAAGATTGAATAGCAATGAACTTTTGTTGCGTCCGTTGCGCAAGCTTATTTTTATTTTTCCGCAGAGTACGAATTAGATTCAGTACAATAAGTAGGTGAGAAATTAAGAGAGTTTATGAAAATCAACGGAACTTTCTTAATACCTTATTATTTTTATTTACATTTTTTTTTCACAGACTTTTGATCGTAATTCAAACCGTAAAAAAAGAAGTATACTCGTAGAGGATTATGGATAATTGTGGCTTATATATAAAATAAAAAAATTGTATTGAAATAAATATAAAGTATTACTTTAAGCAACAAATAACTTATAGTTAACCAAATAATAACTACGCTCCCTTATACTACATGAATTGAATAAAATTCTTAAATATTAACTTGAAGAATAACAAATTATAAATTACAATAATTTATATACTGACTTCTAATATGAAAAGTGGATATTTATTTTTATTTACGAAAGCTAAAATCTGTCTGGAAAAAACTTATTTAAACAAATAAAATTGTATTATTAACAAAATAATACATAAAAATAGAAATTAATACAATAATAGAATTATACTAAAATTATATAGAATAGATTTTTCCTATTTTTATAGGAAAAATTTATTCATTCATGAGTTACGCCATCTTCCAGATGCCAAACGAAATAAAACACGAGTTCAAGGCTTGAGCAATCATGACATTTATGACTTCAAGTAGCCTTGGCAAAGACATTTTTTTATCATTATAATGAATTCATTTAGTAATTTATAATAATTTTTATGTAATATAAAATTAGATTATTTTTTGGCAAATACATATATTTCTTTTTAATATGTTTCAAAAAGTAGTCACAACTATTTTCCTGTGTCAGAAAACAAAAAAAAGCAATAACAATGTTCTATTTAAAAAAAAAGTTTAATCGTGTAGATAATAAGGTATTACGACAGTAACAGATATTATGAAGTAGAGAAAGAGGCCAGGTTTTATAACTAAAATAAAGAAATAAAACGAAATGAGTTCAATGACTGCATACTATCGTGCTACAGCGTAAACACACCTTGAACTCTTGCTTTGTTTTGTAAACAAAGTTGGCCGTGAATGTAGTTTGTAATACATCGCATAGATGGCGCTAATAGGAGCTTCAATATTAATGGATTCAACTAAGCGGAATGAAAAACGAATATTTTTTTGTTGTAAGAAGTTTCCCTTTTGAAATATAGATGGTGCTATATTGACAAATTTATTATACCATAAGTATGATAATGAATTTAATAATTATACTAAAATTAAATATTGATAATAGAAAGTGGTGCCTATAAAATTATGTATTATCACATATACCATTCATAATAATTGTGTAGATCTTCATCAAATTTTACCACAAAATTCTGTCCTTAGTCACTTGCATCTATCGACATCCTATCCTATTGAAGATTATTAATCACAACTCCAGACATCTTCAGCTGACAATTGTCACTCATTGCATAGGATTCTGTTTGAGCAAACTTTATGGCCATCAACAAACAATACTCAGAAATCGTAAACTACTCTTTACTGTTGAAGTCGTAAATAAAGTAAGTAATTGCTTATCTATTTATATTTGTAAGACAATTATTTTAAATTAAACGAGACAGTTAACTACTATTTTGGTAGAGCCCTGTATAGTAGAAGTAGGTAATATATAGCAATACCTATATATTGTAGTTACAATATCTATATTTTATCCTAATAAAAGATATGTTTAATATCGGTTGTCCAATGTATAATATTGAAAATAAGTGGCCGATTAAAACAAATTAAGATATCAGACTGGTAAAGGCAATATCGACATGGGTGCTGACCCTACTTTCCGGGGGGGAAAGGTACTGTTAGCAGTGGAGTTTGACAGCCCCATTGCTAGCAATATGCCCTATTAGGTCGACCTCCACATGGTTCCCCCTGGACACCATCGTGAACAATTCTTGTTGAATTCGTCACGATGGGCTAACAGACCTGTTTCATCTTCACCTATCATCCTTCACTAGTGCCCTGCCGATGTATACCAATAGCGTGGGTT